CCCCAAAACCCCAAAACCCCAAAACCCCGAAGTGCCAATAAATTAACTCAGCAGATAACTAGAATAAGTGAATAAGAGATTTTTCATTATATAATAATATTTAAATAAGTCTAGTATGTTGGCTCTTTGCCTTAATTCAGCAAATATTCGGAAATATTAACAATCCAAATTCATATATCTTGCTCTTCTAACAATACTCGCTACTAATATCTGAGTCACTTACCAACAAACTTGTACTTCGGGTTAGTTTTATAACACACAGACAACTACTTGTCAACGTACCTTTTAATTTATCTTAAAACTGTCTTAGCATGTACACTTCCATGTTCAAATTGTGTCGATTCTGCTTCAAAGTGCACAGCTTGCGCATACGAACATCACTTTGTGGATATTGAAACTAATACTTGCAAAAGCTGTTAAGTGAATGAATATTATGATAAAGCTGTCTCGAGTTGTCAAAGTAAGAAAAATTAACTTAAAAACAATCTTCATCTAGCTTGTCCTAATTCTCCAGGTTCATGCCTTAATACGACAGCTGTGCTTGCTTGCAGAAACCCATAGATGCCTATTCTTAATTTAGATACTCTTACTTGCCAAGCTAATTGTGACACAGCAAATGGCTGGATGAAAGTTGATATGCCTAACCATGATTGGAATAATAATGAAACTCTAACAGTTTGTAGAAGTAAGTGGTTTCTTTGCTTTTTTATATTAATATCCATTTATAGCGAATATCTATTTTGTTGACTTTTTATCTACAAGGCAAGCAAGTATCGGAACAAGAGAGTTTCCACACAAAAGATTTACCAAAGTTTTTGTGGAATAGTTCAACTTTTATGATGCATACCCGAATTCTACGATAAGAATCTTTGTTGCAGCTAATACTGCAAATAGAATTCCAATAAACTTCAAAAATGAACCAATCGTTATTTTGAACAAGAGATTTCATGTTTCAACTTACAATGAATCAGTGACTTCAAGAGTAATGTTAAATGTAACTGACAAATGTAATTTCTCTCAATAAATCTTTATTAGTCTTTGCCGGAATGATAACTGAAAATCCAACTTCTCGCTTTAGAATCATGCCAGTAAACCAAGGATACAATTTTTCTTAAAAATTAAGTAATAGTTTAATAACTGATGTCTAGAACTCAGTAATGTATGACTATCCAATAACAGCCATCCGAGGTTCTATTGAATTAATCAAATTTGATATCTAGGTTGATTTAACAACCGTTGATGTGAATTAGAAATTCTTGAATATGGATGAAGCTGACGGTATGCTCCTTCATGTTGCTGGCTCTCAACTTAGACTCTAAGGAATATTTTCCGATGTCAAGAATGCAATATCTGCTCGAATTTACAATAACACCTTTATTCTTAGCTAAACCAATTATATCCTTACTGTGAGACCCTCTTGTATGGGGGACTTTGACTTTACTAGAACTGAGTTTTTTATATCCTCGAATACATTCACAAATTCTCCGACTGTTACTGTATCTTATCATCTATTTTTCTACAAAGGTTTCTCAAATGTGACCTATCATAATAATAGATTAATCAATATTATTGGAAGGGGCTACTCTCATTTCGCCGGTTAATATGTTGTTTGTCCAAATCTTTTGCCAAACAATACAATTATAAACTTCTTAGTTATCAATAACTATTGGGATATGTCAATTGGGAGAGATGATGCCAGAATTGATTTACAAGTACAAGAAACTAATCCAAACATTACTTTCTCAGTTAAGATTTCCAATAACACCTTCATTAAGCTTTTCAGTAATTATTACAGTTATTCACTATTTATCCATAGGTAATAACTACTTTATCCTTGTATAAAATTACAACCCTTCCTCGTATCTTGAATTTAATGGAAACTACTTCTATGGAACAAGAATTGAAGATATAGCCATAACCTTTTAAACTGACACAGCTATTTATCTTTTTGATAATTATGTTGACGACCTTTACAATAGACTTCGTCATTTCCTTTATCTTGATGGACCGTCAAAAGCTCATTTTAAGAATTTGACTATCAGCAATGCTTATAGTAAGTTACAAAATGTTAATAATTTTTTTATAGCTGGACTGGACTATAATGCCTACGCTCTAATATTGGCTGATGTAGCAGATGGTAAGGGTGTTCTTATTTTCGAAAACTGTAACTTTACAAATTGGAATATTCAAATGCATTATGGAATTAATGTTGCAGTTAAAGTCAAAAGTCTTTAAATAGTAAACACACTTTTCACAGGAGTCAAAATGCTTCCTCTTTGGCATATCCTCAACATCAAAGAAGCATCATAACTAGTTATTGAGGATGTGGTCTTTAATAATTATAGTTTTCAATCTCCCAAGAGTTCTAATGGATTTGCTATTAATGTTATTAATCTTGACATCAGAAGTTCATCTCCAGTTTCAATAATAAAGAATGTTATTGTTCAAAACATGTCTACAAACTTTTTCTAACTTATTAATGCGCATTCAGATGAGAATAGCATTACAGGGTACCTAAATTTCCAAAATATGACTATCTAAAATAACACTTTTGATGCAGAAATCTCCCTATTTTAATTTTCTGGATTTTTACTCGATAACGCATTCTTTGAAATAGAAATCTCAGATTCAAAGTTTATGAACAATAACTTTACTCTGTATGGAAACCTTATTTCATTAATGCAAAATATGATTAGACCACTGACAATAAGAAATACCAGATTTTACTAGAATTATGGAGCTATGTTTGATTTGTCCTCTGGTAATATTGCATTGACTGCCTATCCTACTTAACTTAAAGTAGATAACTGTTCATTCATTTCAAATACCCCATTTTCTAAAGCTCTAATAGTTGTTAATGAGAATTGCAAATCTTTTATTTATAACTCCTACTTCCTTGAAAATTATTCTACCTCCAGAGGATCTGTTATTATGGCTGATTATCAAGAGACCTAAAATTACTTTGAAAATTGCACTTTTGAAAATAACTCGGCATCAGTCGGTGGAGTCTTCTACACTCAATTTGGAAGCATGATCGACTGTTTGAATTGTACTGTTCAAAACAACTTTGGCCTAAAAGGTGGGGTAGTTTACACTAGTAATGACGGTTTTATTAAATTCAGAAAAAGTAGAATCATCTGGAATAAGTCTCTCTACTCAAGCATTTTGGTCACTCTCAGTAGTCCGACCTCTTACACTGAATTTACAGATTCTCTTATCTACTAGAATAAACTATTAAGTCTCTCAGATTTTATTGATAACACTACTAATGCAATCAAGATGAATGTTCCAGAATTAGGATATTTAACTAAGGATTATCTTAATTATCTTGCTTCAAATGTTCTATCTATTCAAAATTCAGTTCAGCTTGGTCTCATTTATGCCTTAAACAGCATAAGTTCTAATTTGAAATTCTAAAATCTGATAATTGACTCATAAGAAAACATATTGTCATCATTTGAGGCCAGTATTATTGGTGGAAATCTCACAATCCAAAATACCATTGTCACTGATACCCAAAACTTACTAGAGCTCACTTCAACAACATTTAACATGTCAGGACTTAAGCTAGTTAATATCTCATGCAATAGCAATACAGCAGCCAAAGATAAGTATTTGATGAGCGCATTATTGAGATCAAACTTTTATATTGACAAACTAGAAATCTATAATACTACTAATCCAATTGCTTTTATGCTGAGTTCTTACCTTACTCTGACTAACTCAGTTATTCAGGATGTTCTCATCACTAGTGAACTTTATCAGCCTATATCTTTGACTGATAGTACAGCAAATTTCACAAATGTTGTAGTAAAAAATGTAATTCTCAGCTCAGATTCAATGATTCATCTATCATTCAGCTATTTGAATGCATCAGGCTTAGATATGACTGCTATCAACTAAACGTTTATTACAGCATCTGATTCAAATCTATATGTCAATAGTTCAAACTTCTTAAGAGATACAACAAAAGACCCATATAATTTGACTGAAGTGGATCTGACATCAATTGAGTATATTAGATCCTGCCTTGTTGTTGAAACAAGTGTTGTATTAATTCAAGACACAAAAATGAAGGACTTCTTTACTACAGATAACGGGGGAGCTATTGCATCGACTAATTGCGATAACGTTACTGTTGTTGGCTCAACTTTCTAAGGCAATTAAGCAGCAATGGGAGGAGGTCTTTATTTGTATTGTGATGAAGACTAAATATGCAACTACTAAATTAATAACTCAACTTTCATTGGAAATATTGGAGTATAGAGAGGAGGAGCACTCCATTATAATTATTTTGCACCTATTATTGATCTTGATTCAATCAACTTCACTGATAATATTGCACCTTATGGCCAGAATATTTCAGCTTATCCCTACAAATTAGTCGTTACTAATGATCATGATATAAGACAACAAGTATCTGGTCAAATTATTATTAATCCAGTTATGATTGAAGTTCAGGACTATTACGGAAACGTAATAAATATTGATAACACAACGTAAACATATATTTATCTAACAACTTATAGGAAAATTGAATTGTAAAGTTGGAACATAACAACGACTTAAATCTAAGGGGCCTCAACTTTAACTGTTAATTAGGGAAAAGCTACTTTTGATGAAGTTACTTTACTTAGTGATCCAGGCAGGGAAAATGAGCATTTAAAAATAGTCCTTCAATAATATGACAATACACTTATAGGAACAGCCTACAGAATAAATAATCCAGATTCACTAAATAGTAAGATCCATATTTTGAAAGCGATATATAGACTTGACAATTGAGATTGACTTTAGACAATGTTTAGTAGGAGAAGCTTTACAAAAACAAAAGTGCATTAAATGTCCAATTGGAAAATTCTCACTCGAGCTCAATACTTCTACTTGCATGAACTGCCCACTGAATGCTTAATGCCCTGGAGGAAGTATTATTGATGTTGATTCTGGCTATTGGAGAGCCAAGTTTTAATCAAGTTAAATTCATGAATGTCTTTTTTCTCCAGCTTGCAGGTAAATTGTGATTGTTTCATTCATTTACTGATAGAGGTGGAACTAATTGGCTTGATGATAACAATGTTACGTGGCCAACTAAATGTGATTCTGGTTATGGTGGTAATTTATGCCACGCTTGCGTCCACCACGATGGAACTATGTATACAAGAAGCAACAAGCATGAATGCTTGAAATGTTCACCAAATTAAACTTTAAATATTTTAAGACTCGTTGGTATTGGACTTTGTCTTATTCTTGCCCTTTCAATCCTAATCTTGTAAAATCATTCAAATTTAAAAGGAATATAGGCTCAATTTAAGGAGAAGAGGAACAAACTATTTGGCAGTGCTTACAAGAATGATGACAAACTACATGCAAATTATATCTTTTGCAGCAAGTTTCAATCTTGGATGGCCTGAGTCATTGAAGAGACTTTATGATTCTATCTCAATTATCAGTTAATCAGCTGATGCAGCCTTTTCACTTGATTGCTTCTTCGACAATGCTGGAGTTAATGACATGACTAATAGAACCCCAACTTTCTTTATAAAAGCCATGATCCTGTTGATTTTGCCTGTTATGGCTCTTATCATAATCTTTATGTTCTGGGGGCTGTTTTCTATCTGTAGGAAATATGATAAAGCAACTTTTACTAGAAACACTATTGTCTCAATCATTGTGGTTATCTTCTTGGCTCATCCAACTTTAACTTCAAATGCTTTCTCAATGCTTAACTGCTATGAAATTGAAAGTGGAGAATAGTGGCTTTAAGCCGATCTTGAGATAAAATGTTGGAATTCAACTCACACTAAATGGTTCTTCTTCGTCGGTCTTCCAATGCTTATCGTATGGGTCATTGGTATGCCAGTCTTAGCACTCATACTTATGTATACTAACAGAAAGAGACTTGGTGAAGATCTATTTTTCAGCAGATACAGAATGCTCTATCAAGGATTAAAGAAAAAGCACTTCTATTGGGAAATAGTTAACACCTTCAGAAAGATTTCTATTGTTTCCATTAATGTGTTCTTGTCACTTTATCCCGACTATATCAAAGCAATTTATGCTATGCTCATGTTGGCTATCATTTTCAAAATGCAAGAAATCCTTCAGCCATATGAAATTCCAGTATTCAATTGGATTGAGCAAAGAGAGCAGATTGCTTCAATTGTCACCTTTTATGCTGGTCTCTATTTTGTTAAAGCAGACGTATCAGAAGCATTCAAGTATATCATTATTATCATAGTCTTTTTCGTAAACGCTTGGTTCTTAGTGCTTTGGTCTTTTGTTGCAGTAAATACCTTTAAATGGCAATTCACAAAGAAAATTGCTGCTATTCTAAGAAAGATAATTTGCAAAAAACTTAAGGAGGAGGACTTAAAACCAGTGGATGAGGATAGCATTGGGTTCTCAGGTAACACTACACTAAACAATACTAAGGGTAACTCTATGATTGTACCTAAGGGTATTGCTGCTGAGGGAGAATTTGATGAACTAGAAAAAATTCAAAATTCTTAAAAGAAAGCAGATGGCCCAGATGGAGATAAATCTTAAATTCTGGATCAAAGCGACATTCCTCTTAAGAAAAATGACTATACAATGGATTAGGATGAGAAGACCAAAGACGAAGGTATGAAGAAAACAAGAAAGAAGAGAAAGACTTAAAAGTCATCAACAGACTCAAATAACGTAAAATCAAATAAGTCAACATCTTCTAAAGATAATCCAATTAAAGGATCAATCATTGAAGACAAGAGCTCCAAAAAAAGAGAAATACTTTCTTCATTCAGCGAGTTTTCTGACAAAATTGAACAACATCAACAGCAATAAGATCAGAAAACTTCAAAAGCAAAGACTCAGCAAAAAGTAAAGGAAATTGCATCTTCAGATGAAGAAGTACAATAGCCAAAGAAAGAAAAATCGAATAAAAAGAAAACTCCACCAAAGAAGGACAAAACACCTAAAGAGCAAGTGATTGACGATACTGAACAGAGAGTTTCAGACGATAGCTCTTCTGTTTAAGAAAAGAAACCCGCTAAAAAGAAGAAGGTGGAGGAGAAGCCAAAGAAAAAGAAGAAGAAGGTTATAGAAAGTGATCAGGATACCCAAGAAGAGGACTTAAAGAATCAAACTAGAACTCATGATAAAAGAATGCTAGATGAGTCAGCAGACGATATCAACTTTTAATCTACTAAATAGGGCCTTAAAATGCCTTATAGCTCTTCTATGTCAAAGAAGTACGACGAGAAAGATAACACTAAATCTCTTAAGGTCAAAGCTAAATAGTTATTGTAGAAGCCAGCACAAAATTAAGAAGAAGTTGATGGTAATAGTAGTTCATCATTCTAGGTCGAAGAAAACAGAGTTTACACCATTAAAAAGAAGAGTACAAAGCCAACTAAAGGCAAGAAAGAAAAGAAAGACAAGCAGGATGAGAGAGCTACAAGCACAATCAAAAGCAATATCATTTAAAATGATGTTCATGCAATGTCTATGTCTGATGACTCTTTCGCCTAAGATATTAGAAAATGATATATTCTCACTTAATAATATATAAGCATATTTTATTTCTTAAAGTTAATTACTTAATTTTCAGATGAATATTCCTTATGATGGGGTTTTGGGGTTTTGGGGTTTTGGGG